TGCAGTGGCAGAGCAGACCTTACAAGGACACTTTAATGCTTACTAAATATAGAAGGGGGTTATTCTTATAAATACTACCAATTTTCAATTTCATCAACAAGTTTCTTCTACACGGCTTTCCTCTTTTAGGATTCCATCTCCTTCTACACTGCATCGGCAGTCTTTTCCTACCAATCCAGAGTTTCTTATTCCAACAACTGACAAAAAGGAGAAGCTGAAGTTTCAAGGTTACAGACAGGATTTCATTTGTTATGTGTAAATCAGAAGGTACTCAGAATTGTATAAATAAACACATCAAAATAATTGTGAAATGGCAAGGGAGAGGCCATAGGTTAAGTCTTTGGGGTTTAGAATTGGGGTTTGGAATTTATCTTGGAGGGGGAAGAAAACTCATTTGAGGATAGCACCAAGATCACATTTGCATTAGGGAAAGATCTTTTTGCATAAAGTAAAGATGAGAAAGCCACAGCCCAGGGGTGGGTGGTTGAGACGTGAACCAGCTTAGTGGCAGCAGACTAGACCGAGGGGTTTAAGAGGCAAAATCCACAGGACCTGGCAGGTGAGTGGACATGGGAGAGAGGGAGGAGGAAGTCAAGAGCCAGAGTGATTGAGATTGCTACTAAATGCTCCAGCTCACTCTCCTTCGTGGCACACCTATTACCCCCTTCAAGTTGTTTGTGGCCATGTAACTTGTTCAGCCAGTAAAAAGTGAGATCTCTTCCAGATGGAAGCTTTAAAAGCCAGTGTACAATTCACTGTAATAACTTGGTCTTGATAACCAAGTGTAAGACAGTGGCTTTGTCAGTTATATCCCAGAATAAAAATATAGTAAGAAAGAGAAGGCCCCGCTCCTTTTGCCAAAGTAAGTTTGACCTGGACCTGTGTCAAAAAGAATAAATAAAGCTTTGCTCTTTAACCCACTGGATTTAGGGGTTGTTACTGCAGCATCATTTAGCCTATCCTGACGAATCCAGTGAGAAAGCAATAGTGATCAAGTTTGACATGTGTCCACATTAAGAACAGTATGTGGGCTCGGTGCCTGTGGCTCAAGCGGCTAAGGCGCCAGCCACATACACCTAAGGTGGCGGGTTCGAATCCCCAGCCCGGACCCGCCAAACAACAATGATGGCTGCAACCAAAAAATGGCCAGGCGCTGTGGCGGGCACCTGTAGTCCCAGCTACTTGGGAGGCTGAGGCAGGAGACTCGCTTGAGCCCAGGAGTTGGAGGTTGCTGTGAGCTGTGAGGCCATGGCACTCTACCCAGGGGATAGCTTGAGGCTCCGTCTCAAAAAAAAAAAAAAAAAAAGAACAGTATGCGAAAACACACAAAAACAACAAGTTTAGAAACCTATCATCTTAATAGACACAGGATGCCTAGATAAAAGATTACTGTAAAACCATTAAAAAATAAAATGCTTCACCTATTTCCCAGTATAAATGATAGATGCATTTTTAAGAGAATAATTTAAACATTTACTTGAGAAATTATATTTCTTATGGCTTAAGAACTAATACTATGAAGTGTCTCACACACACACATAAGTCTCTATTTTGAGAATTTCAAAAGTAGAGTGTTAACTGGCTTATCTCTTTCTAGCACACATGGGAGAAGGAAAAAAAAATAGTTAAGAACACATAAGAAGTAAGAGAAAGCGCCTCTCCTTATTCCAGATCTTAGCATTTTACAATCAGCTCCTGCCTCTAAAATGTAAATACAACTGCCTCTACCACTCAGACTAACAATGATAGGAAGTGACTACGAGCCAAGCATAATACTTAATGCCTTCACTGAATTAGCTTATTTAAGCCTCATAACTCAACTGCATTGAGAAAACACGGAGAGGGCCCCATGGCATGGACTAATCAAGGACTGTTTATTTCCAAACCCGTCATCCCTCACGACCACCGTATCTAACTTTCTCTTTGAGGTAAACCCAGATAAATTTCTTTAATCATGGGCACTGAGAAAGTAAGTTCTAACTGGAATTTTTTAGAAAGGATAATTTCAAAGGTAAGGAAGAAAGTGAAAACCGCAAGAGAAATACACCTGGCAATGGTGTCAACCAGAGTGGTATGAAGTGGAGAAGGTGGAGGTAGAAGGGAATTCTAGAAGGCAGAAGGGAGGGTCAAACAAAAACCAACATCAGCCTACACTAAGCTTTCTTTTCTCTCACGAATCCTAGATAAATTCAGAAAACTGCATTGACTGAAAGGGTCACTTCTGTAAGCAGAAAGTTTAGAACAACAGGAATAAACAAGCTGTAAGAGACCACATCCAGCAGCTTCACAACTCACTCTGTTTATGGCTACGAGTGAGAAGATGTATCATATCAGCCCATCTCGGGTTCAAACCTCAGCTTGCCACTTGGAAGGTAGGTGATCCTAAGTAGATTTCTGATTGGCTGAGATCAGCTTCCCAGTAAAATAGGGATACTAATACCTATTACAAGAGGCCATTTTTCTTCTTTCCTTCTCTCTTCACTCCACAATGCCAAATTGAGAGTTGTCTCTTGTCGAACTTGTTTTCAACTACATAATTACCTTAAATTATTTCCAAACACAAAGTACAACATTCATGGTTAATACATAAAGGAGGCATTATTAAAAGTAAAGCCTACCTTATTATTAATTAATAGAGTCCTTACTATGTACCCATGACCCCACTAGGCATTAAACATATAATGAAGAAACTTTATATGCGTTGAGATCCTACCACCAGACCATAGTTAAAAGATTGACTCTACCATTTATTTCCTGCCTAGGTGACCCTGAGTAATAACCACAGGAACAACAATAGCCAACATTGTGTTTGTTAGGACAGGCTCTGTTGCATGTATTTATCTTATATAACCTCCTCAATAGCTCTATGAAGTAGGTACCACTACTTTTTCCACTTTACAAATGAGAAACTGAAACACAGAGACCAGACAACTTGACCCAGGTCACCAGATTTTAAGCACACATCAAGACTCCACAGCAATAGCTCTGTGTTCCTAACTAGAGGACTTTGGTCTATAACTGCAGTCCCTAACCCCTGGGCCTCAGACCAGTACCAGTCTGTGGCCTGTTAATAACCAGGCCACACAGCAGGAGATGACCATGAGAGCAAGAAAAGCTTCATCTATCACTGTCTCCATCACCCCCTGATGAGACCGCCTAGTTGCAGAAATACAAGCTCAGAGTCCCCACTGATTCTGTATTATGGTGAGTTGTACATTATTATATATTAGAATGCAACAATAATAGAAATAAAATGTATAATAAATGTAATGCACCTGAATCATCCAGAAACCATCTCTAACTCCCATTCTGGTCCATGGAAAATTGCCTTCCATGAAACTGGTCCCTGGTGTCAGAAAGGGTGGGGACTGCTGATCTATACAATATGTGCATAATCATCTTCTGCAGGGATGGCTTAAAGATTAGGACTAATAGCTGGAAAGAGCCTAGGATCCTAGCTGGTACCCAGTAGAGGAACAAGAAAAGGCACAGGACAGAAGCTATACAACAGAGGACAAAGCAAACTAACAGAATGAATCTATACGCATTTCTTAGCCACAAACTATTTTCAAAGTCTTAGGACAGTTGATCCATTATTATCCAAGATTTCATCAAAGTTCACATTGATATTTCATACTACAGGGAGCTGTGAAAAGGTAGGAATTTTAAGGCTGTGACTATACTCAACCCCTATAAACACTAAACTTTATCTCTGCAGAAAACTCTCTTTCCACTGCCTCTGCCTTCACCAAATACCATTCTATAGTCATTGCTGCTGTTGGTTAGAATCAACAAAAAATCTGCATACAGCATTTAGAAAGAAGGGAAAAAGAGAAAAATATCTTAATTATGTCACAAAAAGCAAGCTGGTTAGAATTATTTTTAATTCAAAACCAAATGAGCTTCAGAGACTAGCAATGATTCCAGAGACAAAACAGTAAGTCAGAGTTATTAACATAAAACACATCAGTTCCTCTGGTTCTGAATGTTGCAGCATACGTATTTACTTCAACACATACTTTTCTTTAAGTATAGGGGAAGGAGTGAGTTTCTGGAAATCTCTGTATGAACTCCTTGTGCTTTGGAATCACTGAATTGGGGAAACTCAGTAATTTAAATCTCATCACTTCAGAAAAGAGGAAAGTGAAGCTAGATAGGGTTATTTATTTGTTTCAAAGTCATAACGTTTGTAAAGATGACATTCCTTTGCTCTCATCAGATGGTCTCACTAGTAGTTTCTATCCTAAATCAGTTGCTCAGAGATGCACACTAGCTATAGAAATCTGACTAGAATATGCAGAACATATAGAATTCAAGAGCAAAAAAGAGTCTTGAGGGAGCATATAAAGAAAAAAGTATGTGCTCACTGACTATAAGATTGTTTTATTTATCTCTCAGTGATTTCAAAATGAAGTTCCTCCAAAGAAAAACAGCAAGATTTTTCTCCTTTACATCAATTATAGCAAATTACTTGAAGGAAAGTTCTACTACAGATTTAGGAAACTCCCAAATTTGGAGTCTACTGATACAGTCTCTACTGTTTACTCAAAAGCCTGCTTCAGTAGCATGTCGGTAAAAACTTGAGCAAAACCCTAGGTGCGTGTATGCAAGCAATAGAGAAAGCCAGGTGAAGCGTTCCTCCCTAACAGTTGTCAAAGCTGCTATAGGACTAGGACAAATGTCAAAGATAGACATTTCCATCCATGCCTCGACCTGTCCCTCCCCCCACACACAGTTAAAAGGACTCTTGATTTTGAAATTAAATGCACATCTCAAAAAGAAAACAGTTTTTTCTCTACCAGATCGCCTACTGAGTTCCACCTTCGATCTGTCTTATTTGTATGATAGATTTCCCCTGGTGTGATGGAAAGTAACTGTAACTCTCATAGTCAATGTCACTTCTCTGCCGGTATTTATCTGATAGAGCGCCCTCCCAGGGCCGTCACAAGACAGCTCCAAAACAGACTTGGAGAGGGATAGGCCAGCGGGACTCCACTTACCGAAAACACTGCATTCTGAAGCCCAAAAGGTATGGGGGTCAGTCTGGCCAGCGCCACCACTTTCAGGCCGCTTCCTCCCTCCACGACACGAATAACCGCGCTCAGCTTCTCGCTGTTCTGGATCCTGGCGGCCACCCAGGCGGTGAGCAGCCGCTTGCAGACCACATGGGCGATGAAGGTGCCGATGAGGACGCCCACCACCATCAGACCCATGCCCAGCACAAAGCCGTACAGGTAGCCGGCGGCCACATTGAGCACGATGTAGCCCCAGCCGCAAGGGAAGGAGACCACGATGAAGCCCACGACGAAGAGGAGAACCCCCAGCAGCGAGTCAAGGCTCTCCACCCAGAGCAGGAGGTGCTGGAGGTAGCGGCGGACCAGGGCCAGGGAAGCGAAGCACAGGGCGGCCAGCACGCACACCAGCACGAGGCTCCGGCACCAACAGGTGCTGCCTAGG